TCATCATTATGTTTTTTTTTTTTTTTCTTCAGTGGGGAGCCCGGCTTTCCCCAGTGAAGGCCAAAGGAATCTGCATATACTTCCAAAGGAGAGTTAACCGTCTCTCCGACCCACTAAAGCCTCCAAGGCTTTGCCCTGGAATGCGTCGCCGAGCACTTTCAACACCACCATTATCAGTAGGAGGGACATGCAAACCCTCCACAGTTTCTCACAAGGCCAGACTGCAAAAATAAACACATTATGGCCTTACAAACCTTAACTGATGCAATGGTGTCATAGGTCTGAGCAGAGCCACAGGCAAGCATCCATGGGAGAGTGGGGGGCAAGACAGAAAGAGAAGGAAAAGGGAGGCAAAATTAGGTAAGGTCAAATGTTCCTCCTCTGCTTTGCTGTACTTCCTCCATTTCAAAATCCAGCTCAGCAAAAAATACCAATTCCTGAGTATGTAATTCTGGACAACAAGTTGATTATTTTCTTCGTAACATTTTCATTAAATGAGATTTGCACAGCCTGGGCCAGATATGACTATGCACATGTAGGTCTCTAMAACGTCCTTTATGAGACTGATCCACTAATAGGTCAATTAAGAAAGTCTTTTTACCCGAAAAGGAGTGTTGGGTAAAAGCACACAGTCAAGTTCCAATAGTTCAGCAAGATGTTGGACATCAAATGACCACATTAATTAAGACCGCACTCAGCCTGTAGCAAACCAGAGGCAAAATATACATTACCTTAAGTGTTGTTGAAATGAGTACTTGTCAGCTTCAGAAATTCAAATATATGGTTGAGCTCTAAGAAAAGTCAGGGCTAGTGCTGGAAACCAGAAACCCTCTGGATAAAACAATACAGTTGGTTTTTTTTTTCCATTCAGAGCAGCAATACAGGATAAGTTACCTACCAAACTGATAACACAATGATTAAATTGTCCCAATTCTGCTGCTGCTGAGATCATTGGAAAATCATGGTTTGATGCAATAATGTAGGTAATTTTTTGTAATCTCAGTAATACAGCATGGCCTAATACAATAATTTTGTACGATGAGCTTTTTAAAACTACTCAGCCTTCACTGCCATTTATCTTCAGAATAGAGAAGATTATAGCATGAATTGCCTGATTCTGATTTAAGTTGCTGCAGGCAGAGCTATAACACAGTACAGTGTTCCATGGGATAATTGGGGTGCCACTGCAGAGTTAGCTCCAGAAACACAGAGCACCAGTGGTCCAAACCACCCCACACTCYATGAAGGACATATCAGCCTTATCCAAACTCACCCCAGTGCTCTGAACTTGAAAAGTACATGTCATTCCAGCAGGGTTTAAAATAAATTTCCGTCCCAGACAAGTGAAATAAGTTGCCACAGAAATCAAGAGGAGTTTTATGTTCACATCAGTTTAGCATGCATATGTGACCTCAAGCACCTGGTGTGTTTGGATCTCAACACCTCTTTGCTTTTTATCCTTATATCCAAACACAGTGCTGGTCACATAAGTTCGTAGCTACTTGCTCAAACCATAGGAGATCCTTCCTTCATCAGGGAGAAGACCTGAAGYTGGCTTTTCCAGATGATCAGCTTCTGTGAAAAACCTCTCGGTAGCTCAAAACTAACAAATTTTGAGCAGGCAACAACCCAATTTTATTACTCTATGAGATGTCAAAGATTTTCAGTGCTCATTTGGTAAAAATTAAAATGAGGAGAAGGTTCCAAATGCAAAGGAGGTGAACAGCTTCATGATTATACTTCTCAACAGCTTCTGGTCGYTGAGGCCAGTAAGGGTTTCCTGTTGACTCCTGGCAGAATTGCTGAGGTTTCCTTCTGACAMTAAATAAACTAAACAAGACCAGCAAAGCATGGGCCTGAAACCATCCACACTGCTAAACTGGTCCCTGGCATGGTTTTGGTGCAAGCCTGCTAATGCTCTTCCAGACAATGCCAAAGCACAGCTTGGGTATTGACTCGGGTCAGGCACCATCTCCAATGGATATTTTGGATGTGGCCACAGTGATTTGGATGGCAAGAAACTTTAGCTGCATGGATTCAAGCTCTTGCACGCCAGTTGGCCTCCAGGAGAAGCCTCTGAAAATTTTGTTTATTAATTTAGATGCAGTGTCCAGGTTTTCCTTTCCTTGCAGTCTTGCTGAAGCCAGCAGTCATTGTTCCCAAGCACTGGCAGTGTGACATGGCATTCAGCAGGGTGGCAGGAGTGACATGATCTGACCATGCAGCTCTCTGAAATGCAACAGAGTTCATTATATTTTAAAGCATTGTAATTGAGGGAGGGGATCGAAGCAGACCTAGAACTAATAAAGAAACCAAAAATAAAATGGTACAAACAATTGAGAAATGAATAGGCCAATTAGTTTCAATTAATTCAGGACTAGTTCTCCATTCCTATTATAAAGCTGTCTGCACAATAAATAAATAAACAAATGGACAGTCTTTTTTTTAATAAATACAAACTGTAATATTATGTAAATTCCAGGTACACTGTTAACAACATTAAAAATATAAAGTATTAATTTAACACCAAAGCTGGTAGGTTCAAGATGGAAGAAAACATTTTAAACAAAGACCTTCTAGTTTAAAGCAATAAGTATCAACATGAGGCTTATATATAGTGTGTGGCAGCTGTAACAACATTCATATCTCAGTGTGCCTGGTCTGAGGCAGAGAAAGGGAAGTGCTGAAAACAGTAGCATTCCTCATGGATCKGCTCCAGATCCCACAGAAGTCAGAGAGAATCTATACTCCATGCTTGCTTTCACACTTGGGCAGCACAGCTAATGTTGAGCAAACAGACCACAGCTATGTGCCTTTCCCAGCAAGCCAGGCACACAAGAAAAAAATCCTATTCCCTCCATAAAGTCAGGATTTGGGCGAGGGGGAGGAAAAGAAACACAGAAGTGGCACTACAGGTCCCTGGTTCTTCAGCAGAGTCTGTCTTACACTGACCCTGGCCACTGTAACAGCCTAGAAGTGCCCCAAGACCCCCTGGGTAAATAACCAAGGTGGAGGGTGTTTTTGGGGGGAGAAAAGAGAGTATGGTTTTATTTATTATTATCATCATCAATATGATGTTGCAAAACATTGCTCCTGCTAGAAATAATCMTAACAAAATATCAAATCATCAAAACGAATGTGGGTCTTGGGCTCAGCTGGCTTACCCGTTCTGGAAAGGTCATTAGTTTAAAGTTTCTGCTGCTGGGAACTGAGAAACAATGCCATCCCTCAGGAAACAAATCCTTCTTTTTAACACTGCCCTGCCCTCCTGCTCTTCCTACYGCACTTCAGATTGTGTTAAGGGGAAAGAGAGGAGAGGAGAGCTGATCTCTTCTCCAAAGAACACGGCCATTGCACTGGATGAGAAGACAAGGGCTGGCTCACAAGGAAGATCATTCTACAGCTTCCCAGATGGACTAAGGACTGCGAAAAGTCAACTCTGGCAATTTAATCTGTACACCAGAGACAAATCAAAAGCACATGTGCTCTTCTATATCCTCAGTCTCCATGAGCTAAAGATCCTAAAGCAGAGTTCCAGCAGGCAATTTTGTATCTACCCAGCAGCAAAGCAGACTGAAAGTTTATTGTGTTCAGTTTGCTTCGCTTTCCCACAGTGTTTTCAGTCAAAAAAAAGCACAGATTCTCATTTCTTGAYAGATGCATTCACTCAGATGTTTTTTCCTGCCTCCTCTGCACTAGGAATTCAATATGCAGTAAGAAGTTGAACAGGAGGCCTCCTATGGCAGTGCACTTTGAATTGAAGAAATGGTAGTCTATTGTGTGCAAACTTGCAAACACACATAGGAGAGATGACAGGAGGTAAACTAATTTCAAAGTCATTCCTAAAACTACTAATTCTATCTGTTTTGTTTCTAGGSTTCTGTTTTAAAATTTAACATTTAAAATTTAGCATTTTTTAGATTGAATTTCAGTTTGACAGTATCTATTCYAAACAAAATTACACACAAATATGGGCTTTGTAAACATCTGACCTACATAACTGATGTGAAAACCCAGGATTACCTTGGTAAGTGACAAATCACTGAAAAGAAAYAACAGAAAAAAACAAACCTCATAACTCATATTAAATTATAAAGTAATGCCACAAAATAATTTTTAGAAAATGTGTTTTCTGTGGATCAAGATTCAGTGAAGATTTTCTTTAGGGCCTCAGAACTGATACTACTGCATGATGCGAAGGCAACTTTTCTCCCAAGGACCTGACACCAGCTCTGCTATTGTGTAGCACAGCTTTAAACCCACACCGGAGCAATGCGGTAGATCAGGACTCATTCCACCACAGCCAATAGGGCCAAATGACCATAAAACTAGTGTGAGGGAGGCAGAAATCAAGTTGTTAACTTCTAAGCAGAGCTTGCTCTTGTCTCACAACCTGTGTTTGGTCAGGGTGTATTTGATTCATTCAGAGTGYAAGAGCCTCAGACTAGGAGATAAATATTTGATTATAGTTGAACTATGCTTCATATAACTTCACAATGCTAAACTTTCAGCATAAACTTCTCAGCCCATCTCCAATAATACTGCCTGAATTTGAATGGAGGTGCTGATTCTAACCTCAAACAGCAACTTACATMATCTTGTGACCACAGTCTAATGATATGAAAGCCCAAAAGCAGCTACAGGCTTCCTTCTTTGACCTGGAAGAGAAACCTGACAAGGTTTCTCCAGAAACAGGAGAAATTACTTACCTCTGCAATAGTGGTATTAGATGAATTCTGGTTCTTTCTCTTGGAAATAGCTTGGTATTTTACACTGCACTGCCACTGAAAACAAGAAACTGAGGCCAGGAAGCAGAACCTCAGAACAACTGCTATCCCCTCTACTTTCTGAATGTGGGATTTACTGTTTATTTTATTCCTCAGAAAATAATTTCTGTCTCAATTTCCAATGGGCTAAGGTGCATAATATGATAGTGGGCTTGAGGTACCTTCATTGCCCTGTAAGTTCAAAACACAGGCATGAAATTTAGGCTGTCTAAACTGCTCTGCAGAGGACGTAAAATCCTCTGAATTCAGGTAATGTGGCCTTATGAATCCATGGGCCAGGAGAATAGTTCTTCCTTAGAATGGACCTTTAAATTCCATGAAAATGCCATCCCAATGCTTGCTAGCAGTCAGACAGCATACAGCATTTCAAGAGTCCTTTTGAAGGAAAAATGACAATGTAGAGGATGTTCAGGGTAAATACCTTYTGGASATGAGCAYATCTCATTTCCCAAAAGGCACRGCAGAAGGAGGAGAGCTAAAGCAGYGTGCAACAAGRATTATCTGATGAGTAGAAAAGCTTCTCYACATGAAGAGCTCATGTGGCAGAGGATTTCTTGGCTTGGAAAAAAAAGATGCCTGTTGATTTGTTGACATAAAATTATTAAAAATCAGGAAAGTTCACAGGAAAGAATTATTCAGTATTGCTTAGAACATAAAAGCCAGGAAAACTTCTAGGAGGACTAGGACATGCTAGACTAGGAAGACTAAGGGAGACACTGTTTTTTTTAATACAGGCATGCAGTGTTGTAAAGGCCAAAACTGTAAAAAAACCCAAACAAAATGCAGTCAGATAATCTCTAGAAAAAGATCCATAAAGGGCTACTAAACATGGAGATATGGATTCTTTCATTCTTCCTTTCTTTGCATGCATTTTGATGATGTGATAATTTCTCTCCACAGAGATTCAAAGTCCATATAATTTGATAATTTTTAAAAATTACTTAGTATTCCTCACTGTCATATATAAAGAAAGCAGCTTTACATACATATTCAAAGGAAAAATTAACTACATATTAAGAACTGGCACATCCAGATCTGGACTTCAAGTTCTTAAATGTTTAGAGATATCTGGAACATATGCAATGATTTGTGCTATTAGCTATATGTTGTGTAATAATTTAATACTTATCAGGGAGTATGTACAAAAATTATTCAGCATGGAGCTCCTGATTTCTGATTTACAGCTACATTGTAATTTTAAGGCCTTTATTCATGGTATTTGGTTTTGGCCCTTATGTGGTAGTGATGAAAGAGCCTTCAAAAATTAAGAAGAAAAAAATCAAGGAAAATACATTTGAGGCTTTTTTCTTTTCTTTCTTTTTTCTCTAAAGAGAGATCCCTACTCAAAGAGCAAAGGTAAGCCCAGAGCTCTTGCAGCTCCAGCCCATAAGCCTCTGCCACTGCACAGAGAGGAGAAAGATGCTGGAAAGGGAGTAAACCCTGGCCTGGGTCAAGCAGGTTCATTTCAAGGGTTTCACTGAGCCTGCACCMTGGATGCCAGGCTATCCTTGCACCAAACACCCTTCCCATCCTGTTCCAGCTTCTATTTCCTCCAGGTGTTAAGGATCTTTCTGTTTTATCACAGGGTAAAGCTGCATTCSGCAGATTAAAAAATAAATAAATAAATAGAAGTTCACTTCACTTTCTCTGGGAAATGCAAACAGCATTCACCCAGCCAGCACTACCAGGCAGTGCAACAGCCGAGAAAGCTCTGGTTGGAATCTGGGTTTCACCTCCTGAGTGGCACATATAGATGGAAAAAAGTAAAATAATTACTTGGAAAAGGTTCATCCATTTATCCTGCTGGCACAAAGATCTCCTTTACTTTATTTTATGGGATCTCAAGGACCTTGATTCCCTTTTCTGATTATGTAAAAAAAAAAAAAAAAAAAAAAAAAAAAAAAAAAAAGATGCTACTGTGTAAAAAAAAAGCATCAAACTCTGAAAGCATTCAGAGAGGGAGCAGTAGCTTTAGCCTTCTGTTTGTGCAATTCCAATAGGTGTATTTAAATGTAAATGCTACCCTTTCACCCTTGAGCCACCTATTCTTGCAGCCAGCAGAAAGAGAGCATTCATGGTATAATGTCTTTATGAGGACAGATCTTATACTTAATTTCTCATGTGAATCCAACTCTTTTATAACACATTTTTGTGAGATTAAAAGAACAATATTAGTCTAGTGGCTCAGCAGCCAGATCACTGCTCTGTCACATGGGAGACGTGGGTTCAAAGGGATGGCAGGCAACTGTGCTGAGAAGTGCTTGATGGAAACTGCAGCCACGGAAACATTCAGTCCTCCACTCTCACAGAATTGTTTAACTTCACATTATCTCCTCCTTCGGGCCAGACAGAGCCTCTCTCCCTCCATCTCSCTACTGGAAACCATCCAGCTGCTGCTCCCTTACACAGAAATATTTGAGACCCCAGCTCTCTAAACCATTT